GATAGACTAGCTATCAGCGGTGATGCCTTCATTCAGGAAGGGTGGAGGTTCACGTAACTCTCATGAGATGAGACTGTGTGGAATGCCAGGCATGGGTCTCCTTATATCTCCTGGTTTTCGAACCTATATTGCCAATAAAGGGATCTGGCACGGTTCAATTCCCATGTACAGTAGCATGTTTTGGGTCACTTTGGCCAGTGATTCCACCTCTTTTAAGTGTGGGGGAGACAATGGATTTTATGATGCTCACATGATCTATGTCGGCTACAGTTAAAGTTCCCAATAAATGAATGCGGCCAGCCTCAAATAATTCACATACTGAAATGATTGATACCAAAAGTGGTAGGAAAGCATGATAAAGAGGTAAGGTAGACTTATGTAATGACACTAGGTCATTCTTGATCATTGCACAATGAACCCGATGAAAGTCTTAAAATGTATCCTAGTTATAGCTGGTGTTGTCACTAGCCTATGATCGAAATTAAATGAGGTACATATGAATGAATGAAGAAGACTCTGTCTTTGCTAATGAAGGCTCCCTAGTTGACGCCCATATGTTGAGCCATCATTTTGGGATGTCTTAATGCCATCTTCATGATTCCAAGGTCTCATGGTATATGAATAAATGCTATGAAAGTTGTTATATCGTATATGCAAAATGATATGTGCCATGTGTAAGATGTTATGTGTTGTGTGCAATATGATAATTATGATGATGCATGTTATTTTCATGGAATTACTTTCCTTATCCAAATTTAGAAAGCTCATTAACTTTCCTGATCAAATTTATGCAAGCCCACTAACTTGACTTTCCATAATCATGTTGTCAGGAAAGAGCTATTCTTACTCATGCCTCTCCTTGGTGTGTGGTTGCATATACCCATACTTAGTACAAGTGTGTACTAATCCCACGTAATTCGACAATTTAAGGTGCAGGCATAGGTGGACGCTAGAGCTTACATGTTGATGTTGTAGCTATCCAGACGTGGATCTTTCATTCGGAATAGGTAGGTCCTCATGCTTTAAAGGATGTTTATCGTTATTATCTAGATTAGATGTAGGCTATAGTTAGTTCCACTAGTGTGTATTTAAACTTTTGTTCAGACATTGTACTAGTGCCATTTTGGCAAAAATACGTTTAGTAAAATTATGAACTGATTATTTCATTTCATCATCTCTTTATTAGATGCTTGATTTGTGAACACCTATGATGTTATGTATATTCCATTTCAGATGAAATAAGAAAATAAAATTTTCAAATTTTCCTCTAAAATTAACTCAGATGACATAAGTATGACGCATGTAGGCTTGTTTTCAACCTCTGAGAGGTCAACGACGCCGGTCTCATCTGAGGTCTATATTTCGGTCGTGATAAAGGTAGTGTCAGAGCACTAAGTTAAATTCCAAATATAATAAGTTCACATCAACCACATTGAGTAGTTTCAAAGTCATGGTAGTAAAGTGCACCACAATCCTGAATTAGAGACAACACAATGCTTAAGAAATTTTCCCTTCTTCTGATCATATCGTGCCTTTCCTAATGTCTGATTTTCATGGTATTATGAACGTGTCTAACATTAATCCTTTTTGTTTTCATAGAACGAATACTGGGAGAATAATTGGTCAAAGATGAGGAGGAGCAGCTGCTAGGGCCAATCCAGTTCAACCCCAGGTTCCAGCTGAAGTAGTGGCTATGCCGGTTAACCCTGGTGGGTTTATTGATGCTGAGGTGTGGGAATATCTTGCCCAGATGGCACAGGACATCACAATGTAGGCCGAGTCCATGACCGACCAGGTCAACCGGCAAAATGTTTAGAGGGAGAACCTACCGGTTCGCAGTATGGCTGATAGTCGAAGAGACTTTACGAGTATGAATCCTCCTATGTTAATATTGTCTAAGACTTTGGAGGATCCTCAGGAGTTTGTGGATGAGGTGCATAAGATTATGATGTCTATATTGGCCACAAATATTAAGAAAGAAGAGTTGGCTTCCTATCAACTCAAGGATGTTTAACAGACTTGATGCAAGATGTGGCAGGATAGCCGAGTTTCGGCGAAGTTCTGATCACTTAGGATCTATTTAAGACAACCTTCCTGGAGACATTCTTTCCAAGGGAGATGATAGAGGTCAAGGTAGAGGATTTCATCAACCTTAAACAGGGATCCATGACAGTTAGGGAGTATTTCTTGAAGTTTGTTAAGCTGTTGAGGTATGCTACTTCCCTTGTCACTAACAACAGGTATAAGATTAGTAGGTTCCTCAAAGGAATAAACGGATATCTAGAGGAGGAGTGTCGATCTACGATGCTCCATGAAAACATGGACCTCTCCAGGTTTATGGTGCATGTCCAGCAAATAGAGAACATCCGAAAGAATAGAGGCGTTTGTTATGCTAAGAGGCCTAGGCCTCAAGATCACGCTGGTCAAAGTAATGGAGGCAACAAAAACTATTTTGGCATCCGTGAACAGCTCAGATTAAAAAAAGGGCAGCAGAGTTCTGGAACTCTAACTTTTAGAGGAGGAAAAAACCTAGAGAGGGCAGACCTGAGCCCAAGAAGGGAAATGGAGGTGAGATGCAGCGTCCTTGAAAGGACTGCACTAACAGGGCAGTAATGCCTGCTTTGTTGGTGGGAAAAGAGGGCACATGGTTAAGGACTGCCCACAGAAAAAAGGTCAAGCTTGAGGGAATGTTCATCCTAGGCCTAATCCACACGATGCAGCAGCAGCTGAGCCTCCTAAGAGGAACAGGTTTTACGCCCTTAAGGTCAGGGAGGAGAAGGAGAAGTCCAATGATTTGGTCAGAGTTATGCTGCAAGTATTCTCAATTTCTACTTATGCCTTAATTGATCCAGGGTCTATGTTTTCCTTTGTTACTCCTTTGCTTTCTCTCACTTTTATGATATTTTCTAATGTTTTGCATGATCCTATAGTGGTTAATACACATTTAGGATAAAATATAATACCCGATAGAGTATACAAGGATGACCTAATAGTTGTGTGTGGTAAGACTATGTGTGCATACTTGGTTGAGTTATCCATGCATGATTTGATGTTATTCTGTGCATGGACTTGCTTCATAATTATTATGCTTGTATGGATTATCATAGTAGGGTTGTAAGATTTAGTTTCCTAATGAAGAAGAGTTAGTTTGGGAGAGGTACAACTTGAGTCGTCCTAATCAATTAATTTCGAAACTTAAGGCCAATAAAATGATGTCCAAGGGGTTATTGTGTTATCTAGTGAGTATTCATGATTAAGGTCATGACGTTCCTTCCATAGACTCAGTGCCTATCGTGAATGAGTTCAAAGATGTATTTCCTACTGATTTTCCTTGTGTTGCTCCCCCTTGAGAGATTGACTTTGGTATCAACTTAGAATAGGATACTAAACCAATTTCATTCTTGCTTACAGAATGGCTCCACCTGAACTCAAAGAGTTGAAGTTGCAGCTAGAAGATCTCACTGATAAGGGTTTTATTCAGCCGAGCATATCCCCTTGTGTCGCTCCAGTGTTGTTTGTGAAAAAGAGACATAGAACCCTTAGAATATGTATCAATTATTGGAAGCTCAACAAAGTCATTATCAAGAATAGGTATCCACTTCCCAGAATATATTACTTGTTCGACCAACTCCAAGGGTCTAGCTTCTTCGTTCAGGGTAACATCAGGTCAGGGTTGGGGATGGAGATATTTCAAAGACAGCCTTTCGTACTCGTTATGCTCATTATGAGTTCCTAGTTATGTCATTTAGTGTAACAATTTCACCTGCTGCATTTATGGATCTCATGAACATGGTCTTCCGTGAATACCTTGACTCCTTCATCATAGTATTCATTGATGACATACTCATCTACTCTAAGACCAAGGAAAAGAATCAACAACATTTGAGACTTACCTGGCAGGTACTTAGACAACATCTGTTGTATGCCAAATTCAGCAAGTGTGAATTATCCCTTTGATTAGTGACCTTCTTGGGTCATGTTGTGTCCGACAAAGGTGTAGAGGTAGATCCCAAGAAGACTAAATCTATTAAGAACTTGACAAAACCTATTACTCCCACTTATATTTGTATCTTCTTGGGACTGACTAGTAACTGATGAAGGTTCATGGATTGTTTTCCTGCCATTGCTCCCTCACTGACATCTTTGAATAAGAAGAAGGCCAAGATTGAATGGACAGAGGCTTGTGAGAAGAGTTTTCATGAGATCAAGGATAGAGTCACTTAGCCCCGGTGCTTACTTTACCTAAGTGTGGTGAGAACTACGCTGTGTATTGTGATGCATCTAGGGTTGGTTTGGGTTGTGTTCTTATGCAGGGTGGTACGGTGATAGATTATGTATCCAGACAAATCAAGGTCCATGAAAAGAATTATCCCACTCATAACTGGAGTTGGCAGCTGTGTTGTCTGCATTTAAGCTGTGGAGGCACTACTTTTATGGGGTGCACGTTGATGTGTTCACAGACCATAAGAGTCTTTAGTACGTGTTCACATAGAAAGAGTTGAATCTACGTCATCGGAGATGTTTGGATCTATTAAAAGACTACGACATGAATGTCCACTACAATCCAGGTAAGGATAATGTTGTAGTTGATGCTTTGAATATGATGATCATGGTAAGTACAACCCACGTTGCGGATGAGAAGGAGTTGGTGAAAGATATACATAGACATTCCAGACAGGATGTGCGGTTAGTTCACTCTACTAGTGCGGGCGTTTCAAATCATCCTAGTTCTGAATCATCCTTAGTAGTTGAAGTCAAGGAGGGTCAGCATCTTAATCCGGTGTTGAAGGAGATGAAGGACTTAGTGTTGGTTAAGATGAATGAGTCTTTTGCTTTGGGAGATGACGACATACTTCGGTACCAGGACAGGCAGTGTGTTACCAGATGTGGATGCTTTGTGGACCAAGATCATTGAAGAGGCTCATGGTTCCACATATTCCATACATCCAAGTTCAACCAAGATGTATCATGATATTAAACAGATCTATTGGTAGGATGGCATGAAGAAAGATACTGCGGAATATGTGGCAGAACAACATAAATGTGGCGGTCTTACTCAAATTATTAAGGTTACAACTTGGAACCGAGAGGCCATTAATATGGACTTTGTGGTTTGTCTTACGAAGACTAGGAGACAGCATGACTCCATATGGGTAATTGTGGAAAAGATGACAAAGTCTGCCCACTTTATGTCAGGGATGTGTACTTACAGAGCCAAGGATTATGTGAGATTCTACATTGATGAGATTGTGAGATGGCATAGGATTCCATTGTCTATCATTTTAGATAGATGAGCTCAATTCACTTAAAATTTCTTGATATCCTTCCAGAAGAGCTTAGGCACCCAAGTAAAGCTTAGTACTGCCTTTCATCCTCAGACTGATGGGAAGGAAAAGCGCACAATTCAGACATTCAAGGATATTTTGAGAGCGTGTGTGATTGACTTCAGAGGTAGATGGGACGACCATCTCCCTTTGATAGAGTCATATAATAATAGCTATTACCCTAGCATTGGGATGGCACCGTTTGAGGCGTTGTATGGTAGAAGGTGTCGGTCTCTAGTTTGGTGGTTTGAGGTTGGGGATTCATCTATTTTTGAACTAGAGATCATTCATAAAGAATTGTAGAAGGTTAGTGTTAGACATGTTGGTCACTGCCTACAGTTGGCAGAAGTATTATGTAAACAACAGAAAACGACCCTTAGAGTTTTATGTGTGTGACAAGGAATATTTAAAGATATCACCTGTGAAGGGGGTGATAAGGTTCGGCAGGAAAGGGAAGTTGAGTTAGAGCTATGTTGGTCCATATGAGATCCCACAGCGTGTGGGTGAGGTGGCGTATGAATTGGTTTTCCCTATGGTAGCTTATTTCCATCCAGTCTTTTATGTCTCTATGTTAAAGAATTGCCTTGGGGATCCACCATCGATTCTACCTGTTGAAGGCTTGGGGGTCGAGAAAGACTTTTCCTATGAGGAAGTACCTGTTGAGATTTTAGATCGACAGATCAAACGGCTAAGAAACTAGGAGTTTGACACAGTAAAGGTATTGTGGAGGAATCATATTGTAGGGGGTGCTAAGTGGGAGGCCGAGGCTGATATGAGATTCGGATACCCTCATCTTTTCAGCCCTTGAGGTTAGACTTTCTACTCTTAAGTCTATGTTTTCTTATCTCTCCATTCTTTAATGTTATTGCTTTATTGTGTATAGTAACTATGTTATGATAGTTAGTTGTGTCATTCGGGGATGAATGTTCTTAAGGGGGGATAATGTAACAACCCTAATATTGATATGTTAAGTAATGGTTAATATCTCTAGAATGCATTCATATAGACAGGGCTCACACGGATTGATGCGCGAAGAACCAGACCTCTGAACCCTTGAGACAGCCATGCCAACTAACTTGGGGAGTTATTTGATATAAAAAAGTTTGGCTCCAGCCATGTAGGGAACCCAAATATGAAGATTTACCCGGATGAGTCTTTACCGGAATTAAAAAGGGGAAATCATAAGTTTTGAGGATTTAGGAGTAAAATAGTATTTTTCCAGGATAAGGGTAGTATAATAATTACCCTAAATATGTAATTAATTTTTTAATTAATAAGGTGGAGGGGCAATTTGGGGAGAGAGGGCAAAAAATCAGCTTCTTGAGTGATGTTTTGCTCCACCCGTGTTCGAACCTAGGTGGAAGCAATTATTTAAATTATTTTTATTTAAACTGGTAAATCAAGTTAATTATTTAATATTTATTATCTGATTTAATAAAAAGGAAAATCAGATATTTTTAAAAGTTAAGGAGAGTCCTAGTTTGACTAAGTCCTTACCTAAGCCTAAACTACTTTCACGTTTCAGTCTCTCACGTCTATCTCACTTCAGAATCATTTTCTCTTCACTCATTCACATTCTCTTTTCTAAAATAACTTCAAGAAAGTAAAAAATGACAAAAGTACTTCTCACTTGTAGAACTCACAATGACAGATAAAAACAAACAACTAATCAATCACGTTAGGCAAAGAGAGGGATGTCCGTCGAATCGGGGTTGATGTTTCGGTGTTGGAAGTGAATTTGGAGGAGAAACATTGGGCATCAGTTAAAGATTTGAACGTAAAAAACCTATTGGTTCTCTTCTCTCTTGGTCCCTTTCCAAAGAGACCCCTTAAAGTTCAGTATATTCAAATCCGAAAACTAGGGTTGTTCCCCTTTACATTTCCCTATTGCTAGCTCCCATCGATTTTTAGGTAGGGTATGTTTGATTTTAGAAATTAGGGGTGTAATGTGTTTTTGTGTTGATTATGTTCATGTATGTACGTTTGTATTTATGTGAATGTTAAGTATGATTTACGAAATTATGTGTTTATGTGTGTACAATTTGTAGCAGGGACATATAGTCATGGTTTGAAGTTCGAAAATGACATGTTATGGTTGTATTATTACATGCACAAACTTGTATAAATTGTGATGTTCATATAAAGTATAATTTGGCTGATATAATTGGAAATTATTAGCAAAATAAATCCATTAATTATCCTCAAAACTAAAATGTAAACGTTCATGAAAATGAACTTAAAATGTATTAAATTTCCAGCATCTTATTGATGAGTTTCGGCCTAGATAAGTGATATAAAATACTGATTTGAGTACAAATTTTTTATAGAATGTGATCTTGAAAATGCACCTGAAGAATTCACTAAAAACTACTCCAAACGCATATATATTTAACGTCAAAGGTATGAGAAAATAGTCTGCAAAAATGTAATCAAAATTCAAGCACTTTGATGTTAGTTTCGGTCAAGTTATATCAATTAACATGTTATGAAAAAATGATGAAAAATAAGTGAGGTCACTTAGGATCGAACATGTGACCTCACCTTGTTAAAACTCATAAAATAATGTAAAATAAAAGAATGTGGTAAGGGGGATCTGAACATGGACTTTGACTGGAAAATGAATCTGTGAAAATATAAATGAGAGGAGTGGGATTCGAACCCACAACCTCTTGGTCAAACATAAGGAATTAAAAGAAAATAAAGGTTGAGGCGTGTGGGAATCGAACCTACGACCTCTAGGTTGATCAAGGGAATTAAAGAGAAAAATAAAGTGAGGCTGTGGGGATTTGATCCCATACACTCAAGGTCAACTCGGAAAAGTCAAGGAGAAAGAAAATAAAAGAAATGAGGATTTGTCGGATCGATCCCACAACCCCTCGGTCCCAAGATAAGCGAATAAAAAAGAAAAAAAATAAAGAAAAAAATTAAACGAAGGTGTTGGGGCTCGATCTCGGGTCCCCAAGCCATATGGATCAAAATAGAATAAATAAAAAAAGAGATGTAAGTGTTAACCAAGGAATTCGAAACCGGGTTCCCTTGACCAAACTCCGTATTGATACATAAGTCATCATGAAGAAATGTTTAGAGTAATGCTGCCCACATAGATCGAAATCGAGATCTTGGCATACATATAAGATGCATAAGTCTTGTACCATATAATCTTAGGAAGTTATGAATAACCTAAACGAACTATGAATGAAGCCTCATGGCTTGTATATATAGACCCATAAGTCTAGCATACATTTAAAAGTAAGTGACCTATGATGTATTAAATGAAATTATGATGAAATGAACATTTACATAATAAGAGGGAGTAATTACGAAGAGAAAATGCGCTAATGCTAATGAATGTGGTGGCTACATGAAAAGAGGCTTATGCAAAAGATCATACCAATTTCAAATGAGACTAAATAAATGTTACTAGAACGTACTCACCTATGAGAGTGTATACTTATTGAAGAGACCAGTTTCTATGAACACTCTAATAAAGTATTGAAGTTAATGCATAGTTAATACTAATGATGAGATGAGAAATTATCTATTGAGCTATGATGGTTTCATACTAGAAGCTAAATTTCGTGACGCAAGAGTCGAATGCAATGGAACTTTTATTGAACACCAATATACTTGCTATAAGCGGCGATGCCTTCTTTCATAAATGGGCGTAGGTTCACGTAACTCTCATTAGATGGGTCTTTCTGGCAATTCGGGTATGGGTCTCCTTATATCTCCTAGTCTACGAACCTATACTTCCAATATAGGGATTTGGTGGGGTTCAATTCCCTTGTACGCTAGCATGTTTTGGGTCACTTTGGCATGTGATTTCACCTCTTTTCTGTTAAAAAGAGACACTGGATTTCATGATGCTCACATAATCTATGTCAGTCAAAGTTAATGTACCCAATAATTGAATTAGGGCAGCCTCAAATGATTCATATAATTAAATGAATGATACCAAAAGTGTTAGGATAGGATGATCAAGAGGTAATCTAGACTTAAGTAATGACACTAGATCATTATTGATCATTGCACAATGAACCCGATGAAAGTGATGAAAAATGTTATGTTCTATGTGCAAAATGATATGTCCTACGTCTAAAATGTTATGTGTTGTGTGAAATATGATAAGTATGATAATGGATGTTACTCTCATGGCATCACTTTCCTAATCAAAATTTGGAAAGCTTAGTAACTTTCCTAATCACATTTTTGCAAGCCCACTAACTTGACTTTCCATAATCATGTTGTTAATTAAAATATGTTTCACATGAAATAAGAAAACAAAAAGTTCAAATTTTCTCTAAAATTAACCTAGATGAAGTAAGTATGACACATGTAGGCTTGTCTTCGGCCTTTGAGAGGTCAATGATGTCGGTCTCGTCTGGGGGTCTAGATTTCGATTGTGATAAACTGTCCATTGATACCTTCCTTCGTTCCATACATAGATTTTCTTCAACTTTGGGTATTAGGACATTCTCTGATTAGATCAAGGATTTACCAGGATGGTTTGTCAGTCAATCAATGGATTGCCGATCCTTTCGTTGCCCCACACTTGATCAGATTTCTTCGAGTTTCTCCATAGGGCTGAACTTCCAATCAACGGTCACCATCTACAGTCCATCAATAAGATGACGGTCCATTGATGGCCTTCATGGCTCACTTCTGCACTAAATCTCATCTGCTTTCTGCGTTTTGGTTTTGGAAAGGCTTTTCAAAGATATTTCAAAGCCTTAAAATTCTATTTGAAATTCTAAGCATGGGTTCTTACATGAAAGGCTTTAAACTTATGTTTTATTGATTGATCAATTTTAATTTAATATTCTTAAGATCAAAATCTCTATGAACCCATGTATTCCTTAAATTCCTTATTATGTCTCTAATTTGGATGAATTCATCATGGCTTAATTATATTTAATTAATGTGTAGATTGTATCGGGATATTGAATTATGTATTGAATAATATTAGAATTATTCATGGCTGCCTTATGATGTTTATATCTATATTCAGTATTTATGGATCATTGATTTAGTTTTATTTGGCTTAGTGTTATATATATAATTATGGGTAATATCTCAATTATGTGAATTTGTATTGGAAAGGCTAAATTATTACGATTATGTCAATGGGAAGGTGGTGAGTTTACCTAATCACTCCATTTAAGCATTGAATTGATGTTGAATATTTGTTGTTTAGTACGGTCCAGTAATGATATAATTGTTGATCTCGATATTTGTTGATATAATCGTTGTGA